CTCTACAAAACCAGTCTTTTCTGTTGAGCTTTTTTAAATTAAAAAAAAAAAATCCAGTTAGTTATGTCCCTGGTTAATTAGTATATTATTAGGTATGGAAGGCAACATGGATTGAGATCAGTGTGAAAATGTGCAAAAATTTCCTGTCAATGGTGCAGATAGTACTTAAATGTACATGCAAGGCCATACTGGAGGCACCTCTTTCAAAGACTTGGTCCTGAGTACTGTCACTGGTCTCTCTGCTTAGAAGGCTACTTTAGTAAATGAGGCTAAGCTTATGAGCATCATGGCCTGTTAAAGTGTTTTAATTTGAAGTTTGCATATTTTTATAGATTGCCTTTTATATTTTTATTTTATATTTTTATTGATTGCCTTTTGAGGATGTACATTCAAATACCAGCCACCACCATGATTATATTTTTATTATTCTATATTTTTTCTTCTGTTTTTGGTTGTATATTATGGCCCTTCAATCTTTTAGTAATGGTGGCAAATGAAGTATGAAACAAAAAAAATTGTAGTGTAAATTCACAATAATACTTTACTCGCCAGAATTATTTTACTGCAGAATTTGGGCAATGATATAGTCAGTGCAGAATTTCCTTTTCAGGTTATATACTGTGTGTTTTTTTACCTGATGAATGAACATACTGGGACAACAGTGAATGTCATAAATCACTTAAGAATTCATTTGGTTTTCGTTAATTTTTCATTTTGTTGAAAGTCTTGTTTTTTGCATTTTCTTTAGAGCACAAGTTTTTTATCACCACTTAATCATTCTCATTTGTTAAAAAAAAGTATCTGTCTTTTCTGTCAGTTTGCTGTTATGTAAAATTCTGTGAAAAACATCTGGCAGTTTGAAACTTAAAGTTGCATTTTTTGCATACAATGGAATCAGCATTTGTATGAAAAGAAATAATTACTTTAATCTTTAATTTGACTTGTTTTGAATGAAATTATTTCATTTAATCAGATTTTGCAGAGATAGAGATGTCTAGTTAATCAAAAAGTGCATTTTTGCAACATGACTAAGTATTGTTAGTTGAAGATAATATCAGATAGGTTATGAAAAGGATATTTGAGGATTAATTCAGTGTTTGAGAAATCATCGTTTATGTTTTCCTGAAAGTTGCACTTATGTCACTGAATGAGCATCTCCAGTGTGGTCTCCTAAAAATGCATTGTAAAAATCTGAAGATAATTTTTAAATGCATCACAAATTAATGAATGAAAACTGGAACACTTAAATACTTCAAGAAAAGATGCAAAAGGGTCCTATGTGATCCAAAGTAGAAAATTAAAAATATAGAAGGTGGTTGGTGGCAATACTGAAAAAAGAATAATTGACTTAGAATAAAATTTTACTGCAGTAATACTTCACTAATGCTTCATTTTTGTTTAAGTAAAACTTCTTTTGTGTAACTGAGCTGAATATGGATGCAGGATGGTGTTAGTGTGTTTCAGCTTATGGTGAGTATTGGTGTTTCTCTTACTGAGGTTTAGCCTGCCATCTTTCCATGGCAAAGTGCCTGTTGATATTCCTGGGAGTTTGGGCAACTGCAGAACAAGACATTAAATAGTACTTTTGAAATTATGTGCAGAAGTAATAAGAACATTAAAGTTGCAGAGTTAAGCACCAGAAGTTGCCTGTTCTAACCTTAATGTAGTCTTGTTGTACGTATACATTATGATAATTCTGTTCCTTGTTATACTGAAAATCTGTTTCAGATTTTCTTAAATGCAAGATTGTCATCTGTCTTTTTGCAGTTCTGTGCTCCATCTCTTGTCTCTCACATACATTGAAAAGTTAAGTACCTTGAAGAAATAACTTTCTGATCATGTGGTAAAAAGCTGTATCACAGGTGATAGGCACTGAGGGATAAAATTAACACTGCATGAGAAACAGAGCTGTCAGCAAAATGCTTTAGTTGGTGGCTTGTTTCTGTTTCTGTCCCCACAATTACACTGTGGCCTGGATAGCAGCTACAGAACTACTTACAGCTTCCTGATAGAAGAAATGGTAACTGAAGTAACACAAAAATTACTCTGAGTAAAAATTGGGGGAAAAAAGCTGCTGATAAGGTTCCCTGCAAAAAAAAGTGAAGAAGATTCATTGATGCTGTAATTTCTCTGTAGATTAAATCCCAGTTACATTGTGATGACCTAATGATGGACTAGATTTGACATGTTTCAGAATTCAGGACAGAGTGTATTTGTGAGACATTTATTGTTAACAGGAGAGAGAAGAGGGTTGTTTTCTGTTATATTAACATGTCTCAGATTCTGAGGGTTTATGTTTCAAACAATTACCTAAGTTTTTAAACAGAATTATCCCATAGTGTTGAGCGTATGATCTGCTTCCAGCCTTATGTATTTTCACCACATAAATGTGGTGTGGTGTGGTGTATGACTCCCACCAAATGATTTTGAATGAACATTTTTTGTTGTTTCAAAAAGAATAATTTAGTTGACAAGCCTAAATATACCTGGATTGGCTGTTTCTGAGTTGCTGTTAACATGCTTTATTGGTTAGCATTTTTCTGCCATCCCTTTCTCATGAGATTGCTGTTTCTGCCGTGGTCATTACCAGAATTCTAGAATAAAGGTCATGCTGCAAGCACCTCCAAACATTGGTATTTTAAGATGTTTATGTATTTCTGTATATACCTAAACGCATGCACAAACACATGTGTGCATGAGTGTAAAGGAACTGATGCTGGATTTTGGAATTACTGATTAAAGTAGCACAAGTAAAATTGTTCAAGCCACATTTTTATTTTCTTGATACTTCTAATAGAAATTATAAGACACCTGTGAATATTTAAAGATCCTGTCATGAAGTGACACTTCCCTATCTGAGAATTTCCCCCTACACTTTTATGACAACTAAAATCTATGGATGTGTTCTTGAGTTCAGCCCTGAAGGTTCAACATCTGGCTGATGGAAACGAAACATTTTCACCAGAGGTTCTTGCACTTGGCATTTGCTTCCTTCTGTGGGTCTGTGTCAAAACCTGACTGAGCCTGTTTAACTCGAGGCAATGGTGTAAAGCCCATCTGTTCCTTGAAACTTTTCCCTGAAGGAGTGATCTAGAGTGTATTTATATTCCCAGCTGTGGTTGTGCTTTTTTAAGTACTTAGCTGATGCTTTTGGATTAATTTGTAGTTTGGGTTTGTTTAAAGGTGTGCTGAATGGATGCACTTTTAAAGCAGATTTTAGGAATGTTGCAGAATTTCCCTATCTTTAACTTGTGAAGACAGTGAAGAGTTCGTCCCTGTTTACTATGAATGGAGAAATAACACTTATGAACTGCTACTGTTAAGAAGAATAAAGAATCCACTGAGACTTCTATTTAAAATACACAAAAGTCTGAAAAGTGGAAATGCAAAGCATTTGTAACTGAATATCTTAGAGTACCTGATTTAAAAATATTCTGTCAGTGTAACAGGTTGTTATATTTTTTAGAAGGGAAGAGTATTAACAATTTTGTAGATAGTTTTGCTATCTTTACATTTGGACTTGGAATTGCCAATATAATTTGGTAGGAGGTGCATGTAATACAGTAAGGTGACATTTAAATTCTAATCAAAATTTCCTTCATGAACCTTTGTTGAGTCTTCTTCAGGGGAAAAAAGTGTACAGTTAAGTAAACGGCAAAATTTTAAAAACCCCAATGCTATTGAAATGGTGTTGTTTTTCTGGATGAAGAGATTGATTGTATTTGTTTGATATCACAACTGTAAGTAGTTTAGATTAACACTTTTATGGGAGGAGAAGAGACAACCTTCTTATGAAGGTGCTTCAAATGTTTGTATTGGGGTGCGGTTATGTTCATTTGTTCTTTTAGGATGTTTGAATTAATAATTTCAATAATTAAAAAGGATATTGCATCTTTTCCACATGAGGAAGCTATCACAAATAAGCTATGGTATGAGTTTAAAGTATAATAGCTATTCAGCATGAACTTCTTATGTGAACAATTTTATCTTGTACTACAAATGACCTTTCACAGTTTAGTTGACTGAAAAACATGCAAGTTCCCTCCAGCCCCAATGACAAATAAATATTTATGTAGGGAATTAGTGCAGAATAGTTACTACACGATAAAGCTACACTGTCAGCTTATTCTGTACTCTACTGGCCTTCTTAAAAGCATCCTTAGAACAAAGTATAGTATTGTGTTACAGATATATTCCTACAGGTACTTGTATGTTGTATATGGACTTGAAGGAAAATACGTTTCTCAGAATTTCTATGAAAAATGTTTAAACTGCTGGCAATATGATTGGATTAATGTAAATCTAGTACGTATCACTGGACTTGAAGATGCTGGTCATGCAAACTCAACTATGGTTATTTGTAAATAAGTTAATGGACTCATCAACTTTAGTTACTATGTTGATTTATAAGGACTAATGATATTAATAAAATAATAGAATTAACAGCAGCTGGTATGTTGAGGGTTCAGATAGAACTTCTCTTCAATAATGGTAAAATCACAAAATTGCCTTTATTCTCTTGAGTAATATTAGGTGACAAAGCTAAATGCCCCCTTTTCACTGGTTATGTAATAGGCATTAAAAAAATAAAAATAAATTAACTATCAAAGAGCTGTCCTATGTCAAGCAGCTTCTGAAGATGGCCACTGTTCTGCTGCCTTTCTGGCTCTCTAGCACAGGGAATTCAAACTACAAATATGGAGCCTGCACATGAGAAAAATGGAAAATATTTGAATGCCTGTAACTCTTAAGCTGCATGAACACAATAACATTGATTTTATATTAGAGAATTTAAATATGAAACACATTTTGACTTTTCATAAGAATGTAATTTCAAATACTTTATTTGCTTGTTTTGCAGTTTTTTTTCAAGTAACTACTTTTGTTCAAAAACAGAAGTGTGCATTATTTTCAGGTGCTTTGATAACTTTGTTTTTGTCTTAAAATGTATCGCTATGCATTTCTTAAATACACTTTCTTTGGTTCTATAATTTTCTAAGAAAATAGAAAAACTGGGATTAGAGCTCAATGGGAACAAACAGCGTTTGGAACAAGCCCAGCAGGATGTGACAGAAGCCAGAGAGGAGTGCCTAAAACTGACAGAACTGCTGAGTAAATCTGAGCACCAACTGCACCTCACCAGGTACCCCTTATCCTATTACATGCTGTAGTACCAATTTCATTCTGCTAATTTTTTGCCACAGGCTTCCCCACAGTTGTTGTAGATACTTGCAGTCATTGCCTACACGGACAGCCCTCAGTTGTGTTAGAAGTGGAGATTTAAATTAGTGACTTAGTAACTACAAAGTGAGTTATGAACTAGAATTTATAAAAGTGAATTAGTAGTGTGTAGAAGAGGCAATGTTCAGCTCTGGTGGTGAGGTGGCATGGTTTTAGACAGGAAGAAGAGCAAGGGAGGCTGCATCCACCCTTGTTTTCTGCTGTGTTTAGCAGGACAAATATATTTGAAATGTTGTTTAAGACTGTAGTGTAGAGCAGCACCTTTAAGCATAGGAGTTCTCAGATGAATAACCTGAAATTTCTTCAGCAGAATGACCAGGAATATGTATATAAATATATAAATGCACATAATTTTTCTGTATGAGGTAAGCTCAAGTATGTGAGGAGGGTGTTTGAGTCTCTTGCTCAGTGAAGATACAGTACAATGCAATGTGTAATGAAAGACTTCCCCTGAGCCTATTCTATCCTTGGGTATAGTTCCCAATGTCTTTTGCTGCACTATTCATTACATCTTTCTAGAAAACTCCAGAAGGCTGACATGCAAATTATTCATTGCAACTTGAGTTTGGGTAACTGCAGAACTTTTTTCCTTTTGCCTTGGAAAATGCTATTGTCCAACTGTTTGCAGGCTTTTGGTTGTGTGTATGGGTTTTTTGTTCCATTGCCCTGCTCCCCCCAGGAATGAACATCCATAAACAAATCTGGCAGCTTTCACTCAGTACTTAAGGGAAAAAGTTAAGTTAGTTTAAATTTTTCATAGGAGGGGAAAAAAAAAGCTTAGATTGTTATCACTTAACAGAAGTCTGTGTGTTTATCCAAGTCTTGTACTTTTTGGGCTTTGTGAGAATTCTGCCATTGAGTAAATGGAAATAAAATAGAGCCTTGTCTAAACTATTAAATTCAATGAATCATTTTTTTATTCAGCTAAATTTCTGTGTAATTCAGAGCACGGTTGTTTAACAGATGGAAGAAAGTACCACTCTAACAGCCTGTATTTAGAGAAAAAAATATGCTAGAGGTTAATGAACTTGAAAAAAGTTTTGGGTGAGTTGTTAAGATATCTAAAGTTTGGATTTAGCAGAACTTTATTAATAATGATTTGTTGTGATAGCTAACCAAATGGCTTTACCACGCTCCTTTTAGCAAAGGCTGATTATATGCAATAAAACTCTGGATATCTTGGAGGAAATCTGACTAGCGAATCTATAATTTTAATTTTTTTTTTTTTGGTGAAAATACTCAAAATGTAAAAATGAGAACTATTGCCTGCTTTTACATAGCAAAGTAATTAAAGCTGGATACCTAACACAGAGATGACTTAGGTAGCTTTTTGATGTACAGTCTCTGACTCAGAAAGTTTCTGGGATGCAAATCATTGGAGGCTGGGAACAGTGTTTTGAGCAAGTAATGCTCTGTGCTGGCCCTGTTCTCATACAATTTCTCACAGGCCTGCCTTTTGAGACAGATGCTGAACTGCCATGGCTCCTCTGACCTAGTGCAGACACTCTTCTGCAAGGTCCTGATCTCCTTGGAGTTTTATTGGTTGTTTGGGGGTTTATTTTGTGGGTTTGGGGGATTTGGTTGGTTGGTTGGGTTTTATTTTTTTTGGGTTGAGTTGGGGTTTTTTTTTGTATTACTGTGTGTTCGTGTTTGGCATCTCCTTACAAGAATTGAAATGTTTTCTATGCTGATGTGTATTTATTGGAAAAATTATTATGATAAGGCATGGAAAATAGGTTCAATTTTTTTTTCTTGACATTCCCCAAATTCTACAGCACTACGCACATTTTTTTTTTCTCTGTACACTTGGAGCGTCTGTCTGCTTTCAAAAAATGCATTAGGTGATGCTGCTTGAAGAAGAAGGGGGAAAAAGAGATGAGCAATTCGTTGCTCCTGATCTGTTACCTGTTTACCCCTTGAACTTAAATCCATAGAGCAGGGTTTGAAGTGTTCTCATAGTGTCACCTGTTTTCCCTGCCTTGCAGAGGGAAACATCCCCTACTGACATGACACTTGTCCTTAGCCTGTACTTCCTCTCAGCTCACCTCCTGGCAGAACAGGTTTTCCGTGCTAGTGAAGGTATAAAAGTTACGTGTCTCTAGGGGCATTTGTTTTGCGTTTTGAACTCAGTATGTTTTTCATGGATTGGTACATCCACAGTTGTTGCATGTAAATTATATTCACTTACTGTTTGCCTTCTTTCATTTATTCCCTTCACCTCAAATGGCAACTGTGTCAGTGAAAATACTTGAAGGGTAGGGGTAATAGCAATCCTATGGGGGTTGTAGACTCATTCACTGTGGCGCTTGCCAAGGAAAACAGATTTTAAGCTCTAGAGTCCTGCCTGTGGGAGGTTGCTGCAGAAATTGCACTGATTTAGTGCATCTCTAGGGTATTCTGGCCTTGGCCTTGTCTTGCTGATTCTCTTCTTTTCAGGAGAGGACCAGCTGGTTCACTCCAAGTCTTCTCACAACGCTGGAGTTGAGGGAGGCCTGTACTGCTGTTACACCATTGTGGATAGTCTTTCTGTTGCCTTGCATGACCTGTCTGTGCTGTTCTGGCAGAAATAAGAGGTAGCTGAGAAGATACAGAAAGAATTCTTTGTTTTGTATGAATTATTGCATTACTAAGGAGAAAAGTGGATCACTAATCCACTGATTCTAAGTTTCGATATTGTAAATAAATATGATTATAAATTAATACAAAAACTTTGGATTTTAATGTATAAAAATGAAATAAATGTATATGAAAGGAATTAAGGAGAAAAAAACATGCAGTCTGTGTCATAATGAGAGAAGAAAGTACTCTGCAGAATAGCACTCTTCTCCAGGAGTCCCACTTCTTTGCTGTATCCTAGTTTTCAGACACTGTTGATTGATTACCAACTAAACAGCTTCTAAGTTAACAAAATGTACTTGTTAAAAAGGAAGAAAAAAAGGTTACAATTAGCTATTCTAAACCATTGCCACGGAGTTTAAAATTGCCTTTTCCTGTCACCTTTCTTCCTGGAGCAATATGTTGCTTAGAAATACTTGCTATTAACATGCACTTTCTGCTATTGAATCTAGTTAGTAATTCTAATTTGTATGTCTTCAAAAGACAGGGGAAATGCAGAACTTCCACTGTGTAGTTTTGCTTGTCAGTCATGTAACTTTGCAGATGTCACCATGCTATGAGACTGACCATGATTGTTTAGTTTTCTTGAGGGTTTCTTTTGCCCTAGTTTCAGCCTTGAGGTTACTGTAGTAGGAGATTCTTACAAAATTGGTTCTTAAGTCAAATTGCTCTTACTTTGGCAAGGTTAGATCTTGCTAATTAAGCTTACCTGAAACCCTTCTTCAAAGGGTAGAAAACATAAAGATCTATTGTTCTTAGTTAACGAGAAAATAGTCATGAAAAATCAAGTCAATATGCTCATTGAAAAGATCATATAAAAGATGCAACATTTTAACAACTTGTCCAGATCTTGGTGTGCCATCTAATGAAAAAAATATTTTTCACTATTCTTGTGTAACAGAATCATCATTAAAAAACATTCCTCTTTGTCATTCAAACCAGATCTGGAGGTATTATTTGTTTCAGTTGCAGTCCGCAGTAGTTCCTGTTCACACACACCAAACAAGTTAAAGAAATTCTAAGAAGTGAGGGAATCACCAAATTTCAAAATTGCAATTTTATTATGTCATCATGCATTTTCTCAGGGATGAAGAGATAAATATGTAGATAGATCCATAGATAGATAGATACATAGATAGATAGATGGCTCAAGATATTTTTGACTGAAATGTCATTTGAAATTTGATAGGAAATAGAATTGACTAGAATAGAAGCAGATTTAGTTTAGTTTAAAATGTATTATTCCTCTTTGCTTATAGGAAACACTAAGAACTTCTTAAGGTCAGCTTGTTGGTAGGGCAAAATTACTAAATGAACATGTGCTTTCACATTCAGGTGAGCCACCAAGCTGCCCTAAATCCCTCTTGAGGGACTGAAGTTTATATTACAGTGAGTCAGTGGGTATTGTTTTGCTTGATTATTGTTTTTCCCCCATTATGTGATATTTCTTCCCTGTTTTTGACAGTGATATGATTTCTAGAAAGCAGCATATCTAATATCAACTGGGTTTTAGCAGTGCTATAGTCATGCTACCGTGCATGGGTGCTTCTTGCTAGTTTCAGTGACTCCATTAAGACTAATTTCTATTACATGTACAATAAGTAAAGCATATACTCTCCCAGATTAATGTGGCATTATTTAATCTCTGAAGCTCTGGTGTTGAGCTGTATGTCATCACCAGTGTTTCTTGTTAGAATTTGCAGCCTGCCTCATTCATTGTTCTCCCTATTTAAGCTATACTATTAACTGATAAAACATAAACTTCCTGGTGGTTATACACAGCCTTCTAGGGAGTTGCACAATACTTAGTATTTATCGTGGGTTTTTTTCCTAGTAGTATCTCTTAGTTAGCAACATGCTTAATACCATGCCTTTTCCAACAATTCTAGCACCTCAGAGTCCATCATTTATGCTGGGAAGAAGTTTTGGAGAAACCTTGTTACTAATATTAAACGATTGAGACACGCTCAATCTACTCAGACTGACTAACTGATGAAAGTAGCAATAGCACTCGAATAGGGGGTGTGGGGGGAGGAAGCAGAAATAAGGTGTAACCAGTGATTGATTTCTAATTTTTTTGAAAAAAAAAATCAATATACAAAAGCGTTATTTTAAAATGCAGGGATGAGTGATAACATGAAACAACTATAACTAATAAACTTTTTAGATTCTGCTTCATATGTTTATTTTTCATTAAATGTAGGGACGGTTGCGACTATGTTGTTGTGATTCAGTCAACATTTATTTCTATCTGGTTTTCATATACAAAGGCATCAGGATGCCAGA